TAGCTGTGGTGTCTGCGGTCTCACGAGTAACTGGTGGGACACTGCTTTAAAATACAAGTCATGTCAGTTCCAAATCAACAGCACCAGAGTTTAGGATTGTGACCCCACTGTCTCAAGATGCAAAAGCTGGTCACACACGTTTCTACAAAAGCATCAGTTCAACCCACCCGATCTATCCCACCAAGCCCTCACCTTTAAGCATTTAAGCATAATGAAAGAACAGGGAAGCTGTGATTGTGGCCTAGAGTTATAAAAAACAATGTTCTATTTACACAGTATTCGTCCTCCAAGAGGAAAACTGCATCCTTGAACATCCTGGTTGTAAAACTATCACATAAATTAAGTCCTCTTAGCCACTATCCACATAAGCAGAATGTTTATAGGGAATACTCTGCACTTTTTCAAACAAACTTTATTTACTTTAGAGAATCATTTTATTTTTGGTAGGCAAAAATATAAAGGTGGTGTACCGCTAACACAAGGCTGTTCTTCATAGTTTAGCAGTCCTTGACAGATCTCAATGAGACCTGAAGAGCAACCTGAACACATCACCAGGCAAACACAAGCAATCTCTAGTATTAAACAAGTTAACCATTATTTTAGAATAAATCACAGTACAGTGATGATAACCACATTATCCAATATAAATGTCCTGCTGTATTACCTATGTTTTTGTAAACAATTTGTGAAGAGATACTTGTCAATGATTGTAAAGAACATTTCAGGTGCTTTCACCTTTAAAAGGTATTTGAGGAGCAATATGTTACTCTGACACATAGAGTTTAAACTGATTCTGCAGTTCAAATTCAAAACATTGTTGAGCCCTGTCTCCCCCCTTCCTCCCTAGAGTCGATGCGCAGGCGGGTTGCCATTTAGCAGACACAGAAGCTTCAGTGTTTAGCCAGTTCTACATCATGAAACCTTTATGCGCTCTAACCTCTCTCCTTTTTACCAAAGCATCTCCAAGCATTTCTGGTCGTGGAACTTACTAGAAATAAGCCGATGCTTTCATAGGTTGGGTAGAATCAGTTATATCTGAACCAGTTCATTCCACCTCTGGGTGACTACAGAGAAGACTACTTTAGGGACTTAGGGAACTACTGTAGGGACTTAGTTCCCCATTGTAAAGGTAGGACCAGGCGCCTTACATCGGCAGAGCTTGGGTGGATGGACGTGCTGTTTTGGGTAGGATTATGACCATTCAGGCAGCTGTTCTCTCGATCATCTGCACAGGTTTGAGTGAATATGAAGAGGGGCCTGCCAGTGATGAGCTACAGTAGTCAATGCGTGATATAACAAGAGCCTTGTACCAAAAGGCTCTGACAGGTATAAGGTCTGATCTTCCTGATGTTGTACAAGTTATATCAATACAACCAAGCAATTGAGATAAGACCCACGTTCCAGGCAGACTGTGTGAGAATAAGTTCAGTTGGTCCAAGCTGGATATTCTATGGTTGCGTAGGGGGACTGGCTGGAAGGACTAGAAGCTCAGTCTTTGAGGTTGAGCCAAAGGCTCTTTCTTTAATCTGATATTTTATTAATATTAATAGATCATAATTGCCTTGTTGCACTCCTTTTCCCCTCTTAAGTTCTAGTTATCTATCATACTGATCACCAAAACATCAAAAATGAAAAACTTTGTTTAATCACAAAAATGATTGAAGTTGTATCAGGTGTGATAATATAGAGCTTGTAAGAACTTTTAAGTTTCTCATTATGTGTGTTGTCCCTCCAAAGTCGTAATTAATCATTAAATTAGACATTAATTTGAGCTGAAAGCAGTTGAGAAGAGATAAGTCGTGTTGCAGAAAGTTTAGAGTAAGTGTCCAGAATGAGGAGGAGAATATTTCTTAGTTCATATCAATTAAATTCAATACATCTTTTTTATCTGCCCAACTCGTGCTCCAGTCAGTAAGTTAATTTATTGTTCATCTTTGAACTTTTGGCTTGACTTTAACCACAGTTTATCAATAACACATTTACATCACAATATTACTTGTGTTTGAATGGGTGTGTTCTTTTTTAAAACTGTCCTTTGCCAGTGCATTCATTAATAGAGATCTTGCTAAAATCTGAATACTAAGATCTGAACTCAAGTTTCTTTTTGCATATTGATGCTTTAAGCAGAACAGATTTCTTGATTTTTTTCTTAAACTATCTTTAACCTTTCGGTATTTCCATGAAGCTACACTGCAATCACAAAACCAATGCACAAGCTTCTGTTTAGACAGTTCACCAATCAAGCAGACAAAGAATTGCTGTATGCAGCCAGGGGTTCCACAAAATATGCCAACACTGTCAAAGAGTCACAGATGATGCGACATTTTCTCATGGAGGAAAAAATCTATTGAATTGAAGGAGGCAGGAAGTAACTGGTATTTCAGCACCCCCCCTGTTAGAGCACAAATTTGCCCATTCTTGCACATTTCACAAAACTTCACAAAAAAAGCTACAGATTTCCAATGGAACAGTCAAGGGGTTTAACAATTGTCACAATTTGTAGTCCAAAACTGTACTTGGGAAACTTTACCACATTTTTTCTTGCCATTTATCAAATGAACATAGACAGATTTCCCATGAATCTGAACTAATTTAGCTTGCTAATAACTATACCTTCTTGTGTGATTTAAATATTGTAAAAGTGAGGCAAATTTGTGGTTGTGATCATGTAGACAATATAAGATGTTGGGCAAAACTAATATACTTCTTATCCCCTGGTTATATGCACTGTGTTCATCAAAAACCCAAATCAATGATGTCTTCGTCATGGCAAATGAGCAAAATCGAGTTCCAAGTTGGTGTAAGGGGAGACGTCATCATTGGAATAGTGAAGAAGGCCACCAAGTCCCATCATTATTGGACAATCAAGGCTGCCCATATAGTCATCCATCTCTGACCAACCAGAACTGGACACCAGCAGTCATGTACTCAGTGTGGGCACATAACGCATTTAGTTGTGCAGATCCACTATGGAAACCAAAGAAGAGGATGAAAGGCGAGCGTGAAATTTAGATGACTCCATTATGGGAAGAAGACTTCTAAAGAAAAGTTTTTGCGCCACCAATGGGTTGAATGGCCTCAGTCACTTGGCATGTACATTAAATAGACAGAGATGAGTTTCCAGACCTCTATTAAAGGACAATGAGTGTTTGAATTTTCTTTTTTGTTTGTTTTAGTCTATGATTTTACTTTGGGTAAACAGTGAAATACATATAACCACAAGCATCAGGCCGACAAAAATAGACAAACATACCTCTTGTGAACAAGAACCTAATTTCAAACCCCCAATTTCAAAGAACTGACCAAAACGAAGAGGGAAAGGACATGTTGAGTGTTGGGGAAAACAACATGAGCTCCATTACAAAAGAAAGCACCACATTCACAACGAAGAGAGAACATGAAGAGGGAGATGGAGAGGGAGCTGGAGCTAATTCGGCTACTCCTTAAGAGGGGTGATTGTTAACAGAGCCACTGGATTATTTGCGCAGCCCATTCACGTAATGGCAAGTAATGGCAACAAAGCATCTTCTTAATGAAAGGAAATACATAAAAGTCCCAGTAAAACTAAAGTGAGGCAAAAGAGGTTTGTGGAATGCCAAGTCTCTAATACAAAAGCATCATAAATGTAAATGTTTGTCTGCTGTTTTTACGTGTATGAGCACACTCTTAGGAGACAGCCATCCATGGACACAACCAATTTTGCCCGATGAACAACAGATGTTTCCCTTTTTTGTGTTCGACAATGTTCAACACAACAACTAGTTGTCGCCACATTTGCGATATCATTTTTCAACCTTACGTCTTTCCCTTTGGGGCTTCCATAGCTTTTCCATAATTTTAGCATAGCCAACAAGGCTAACCAACAGGGTCACTGCTGAACATACATCAACAGAAACCAGAGCAAGCTGAAGACATACAACATGTCAATTGAAAAGAGTACAACTAAGACGGGCTGGAATCATCAGTATATAAAGTTCTCTCGATCATTGCCAACAAAAATGGTTATACAATAGAGAGTCAAATAGACTGTGTTGCTGGTTTGAGTTTTGACTGTGTGATGTGTGCAGCTCGGGTTTGGCTTGTAAAGAGCCATATTTCATGGGGCTCAGAGGGCCGGGTGCTGGTACCACATTTTCGATCCTCTATTGCACTGTTACTTAAAACTAAGACAATAGCATGGCTCCAAACACTCCTTATGTAACCGCTGTTCCCTCTTCAATCAGAAATTCACTGGTATAAAAATTGTGAACTATGCCTTTTTGACCAAATGACAATCAGAAACATCCTCTGTTTTGCATCCATCAAATATTCTGGGATCATTTGCGCATTTAAAGATCAACTAGAAAAACACACGCTAGTGCAGATCTATTACTGATGATATTAACATTTTTAAATTATTGATCTCAATAACCTTGACATTCCTCTTAAATATCACCTTACTGGCTTCAGAGTAACACAAATATGATTCCTTATTTTTTTTTTTTTTAATGCTTGTCAAACTGTTCTTCCAATTCCAATAAATATTAAAATGTTTAAACTCCAGCAACGAACACAAAAGCAGGAGATTAAGGGGATTCTTGGAAGATTTGTGGTCATAATACTTGCTGCATGTACATTGAGCTTTGGTGCTTTTGTTGACTGCAAATTAGTCTGAACATTTGCTCCACCAGAGTTAAATATCAGTTTATACTGGAACTGTATCAAGTCCTTTTTTGCAATCCTTTCCTTTTCCTTTTTTCCCAGTTCTTCATTATATTTAGATCTTTTTCTTAAAAAAAGCAACATTTTATCATATTTTATCAAGGATGTAACCCTAGATCAAAGTGTTCAACCAAATCTGCCTTACATAAACCTCATACACTCCTTTGTTAAAACCCCAAATATCTTTGATGCAAAACAAAACATCCTTACAAACACCGCCATACAGGTGCATACCCAAAACACACACATAAACCACACATACTGTGGTCTTTCCCATTTTCAGTAGAACCCAGACTGACCTACTCGCAGCTCCTGACCGAAGACTGTCCTCTCTCCCAGCGCCGAACAGTTCCAGCGTCCGTATCGAAACTGGTATTGACACTCATTGATGCCCATCTGAGCGCCTTCACCTACTACAATGATGGCGTCCGGGCGGCTCTGGCAGATGGCCCGCTGGCGAGGTGCCAGCCCAGGAATCTTGTTGCAGATGATGTTGGCACCCAGAGCCACCACCGAGGACAGGGCCCTGTCAAGGTAACACAAACACAGGCAAACATCAATCGACATATGCATACAACACAACACACATGTATGCATGGTTGCACACACACTGACAAACACACAAATATAGACTTGATCAGATCCTCCTCTGCATGGTCAGACTGACTCACTGTGTGAGACTTTCCAGAATTGGATTACATTCAACAGTGATTGATGCACATTATGTAATGAAGAAAAAGCTGCTCTGCCCTGAAGTTTTACTATAAAATGGGTAAGAAGTAAATCCAAAACATCAATACTTTATGCTAAGCGTATGAGGAAAAGCTGATACGTTCGATAAAATTGTCCAATATTGCGATGATGATTTGACGTGCAGTAAATGAACATTGAAGTTAGCGTTTCATGTTATTTACAGCTCCGACGTCTTCTTACTTTTCAGCTTGTTATACACCGTACATTTCATTTGCAACCCTTTCCCGGCCAATATGCTAGCTAAGGCCGCCATTCACTGTGGGATTTCAAGCAGTTTCTGACCCAATTATTGAGTTGCACGACTGATTTTGAAGTCGGCTGTAATTCCCAATCGCACTATTTGCCGTGCAGTGTTAAGGGGGCAGATCACAGCCAAAATCTGCTGCTGGTTGGATACATTTCTAACATGTTTGAAATTTTGGTCATACCACTACATACTCTTGCACAGCAAAAGGAGAGACTCAAACCCATTCTCCGACTTCAGGCCTTCAGGCCTTTTCCTGATTGTGCCTGCGCAAAATTGGCAGATGGCATCTGAAAGGACCATGGCAACAGCAGGGATGATGTGCCTTCCCCTATTATCACGAAAGATACGAACGAGAGAAACGGGGGATATTGTTATGATTTAGCTTGCTAGGTTGTGTTTTTTGATAATGCTGAGTGTATATGCATGTTAGAAGGTGAGATGATGTTTATATTTGTTGTGCATATGAGACAACTGAAATACACATAGGTCTGACTTTAACTTCAGTCTGTGGGAGTTTTCAAATGAAATGTAAATGCTCAATCCGGATTTAACAGGTACAGTGTGAGCTGTCAGGTTGTGCCTGAAGATTGGAGCGTACAGTGTGAGCAAATCATTTGTTTGACCAATCACCAACTTCTTTCACTCGGAAAGTGTGCGATGGCATTCCACCACGACATTTTTAAAACTGTACAACATTGCCGTTTCTACTAAATTGACACCAATTATCTGAATGGATCAATTGGTGGTGCGCTGTTCTTTTTTCCCGCTATAGTTATTCTATAGTTTTTAAGCAGTGGATGTACTTTTTTCACTTTTTTATATTATAACTTTATTTTTACTTTGTGCAACACAATCACCAACAGTAAATCCATGTATGTGTAAACCTACTTGTCAATAAAAACCCATTCTGGTTTTGGATTATAATGTGTTTATTGCACACGTTCATATCGCTATGATTATTACATTTCTAAATAAACTTTAAATCATTGCGGGAAACCTGCTACATCAGCCCAGAGAGAGAAACATCATGCTAATTTGACAGCTGACAAAGCCAATGGGGAGTTTGACTAATTAGAAGCTGTTAATGTGAGCGTCATGAAAAGCTGTCAGACTCTTCTTCGGTTTCTTGGGATTTAACTGCAGAGTTCACTTTTTAACCAAGTGTGATACAAAATATTATTTCATATAATTTGTGTAACTGTGTTCATAGTAATTCATAGTGTTAAGTGCTGCCTGTAAATTTCATGAGGGACTACATTTTTTCAACCACATCCTAGGATTGGTTTGCATGGAAAGTATCTACGTTTTCCAACCTTGGCTTCCTTCATTTGTAGTGTATTAATGTGCTGTACAGTGAGTGACTTATATCTTTCTCCGTCCCCTTCATGGAGACTTGATCATATTTGATCACTCCATGTGATAATATCAAAACATATGTTAAAGATGACTTTGCAACCACTGAGAAAGCCAAAACAGATTACGGCTAAACAAAACGCTGGGTTTCTCCACGACTCTGTTTATAGGCCTGGAAACCATGTAGATACATACTTTTCAAACATGTCAGGGATAGGGAGCCAGAAATGAGCGCCAGCTTTGAAGTATGACGTCGACCTCCAAAGGCTTCACCACAGACGAGGCAAACTAACGGCTGGGAGTTATGTGTCAGCTTAAAAGCAATGGCAATAAAAAAGAGAAAAAGGACAAATTGATGAGGATGTAGAGACACAGAGGAAGATACACTGAAACAATGATTTCACAGGGTTCTTGATAAGACCCCAACAAAGAACAAAGATGTGATCTTTGATTACAAGTAGCGTTAGAGAATCATGTTCCATTTTCAGGCAGTCTTCTAACTTTCTCTACAAAGACAGAAGAACAAACCTTAGTTTCAAACAAACAAGTTCAAATAAATCCCAACGTCAGCGAGACCAGTGTCTGTCTCCAGACTGAAGACCGCACACATTCTCTTGATGTTCCCAGTTTTGTGAACCCAGCTCTAGAAATTACTACAAGAGCTAGTTGAAGGAAGATTGTTTTTCAAATGCAAGAAATGTGATCCTGCAATTGCATTCCTAAAACGAGAGAATCATGAACTGAGATTTTAAAAAACATAATTCATCTTGTGCTTAAAAATATGTGCATATAACTGATATGTTTACTTCCAAATCTTAAACAACAAAGACAACCAGAATTCGATCAGGTGCATTCAGTGTCTGCCGTAAACACTCGGCCTGCTGCTGTTGCTGCAGCTCTGAAACCCTCTTTGCTCTCTCTGCTGTTAAACAAGCTTGAACTCCTCTGACCCTCTGTGACCCTCTGCTGTATATGCGGTTGTTCATGGCAACAATGACATGAAGTCTGTACCAACAAAAAGGTCAGGCTCATTAAGACGAGTAATGTGCAACTGGAGACATATTCAGTCTTGCACAATGAATGCTAAGAGGGAGAAAAACGGGTTTGTGTGTATAAATCCAAAGGCAATAAAATGCACTGGCGTTATTTATATCTCTGATATTTTAATGCACTGCTTTAAAGCTTACACACCAGCACAATGTTGTTTTCAAGTCTGACAAAGACTTCCTTTCTTGGCACTTTCTCATGTCATTCACCTGCTTATTAATAGAAACACAGTCTACTGTGTGCAACAAAAAACCTGAGACAACATCAAACAGAGAATTCCACAGCTAAGCTTTCAAATCCCTGAAATCATCAAAGTGCACAAATGCGATTCTGTTTGCTTAGCATGTGCTCTGTGTGTCTGTGTGCAGCTCACCCACCATCACAGACAGACCATCATGTACACCCGCCACAGAAACTCTAACAACACTTGAAAATGTCACAGGATTCGTCTGAGCAGATGGTGCAGTATAGCTATCAATTTTTACAAGTTCATGCAACACATCGAGTAGGATTTGGGAATCAGATATTAAAGTAATCGATTAATTCACAGAAATGCAAAATGTGCTGTGTTTAATTGATCTCTGTACATGATTAAAAAAAAAATGAGGCTGTGATGACAGATAGGGGAGAATCTTTGTTAATTACAAAGCAACATGTGGCATGAGAACCACCGAGATGCCTTGCACAGACTACAAGATTAAGTAAACCTCGGACATTTAGAGACCAATTGTCTGATGTTGCATCTATCAAACATTAGTAAATCAGTTTGCATGTGAGCGCTGCTCTGACAACTACAACTTTACTTCTAAAATGAGCTGTCACATTATATATCCATTATTTGTTCTTACAGAAAAACAAATCTCAGCAGCGTCAAAACTAGATGTCAGTGAGTAACAGAGGACTCTGCAAGTTTAACATGACAATAAAGTAATTGCTTTGACAAAAAACATTATTCCAAAAAATAAATAAAATTGAAAACATTCTCTATCACATGGTATTTTGGCTCTTCAAGCGACCATAGTCAGTTACGACATACAGGGAAGAAGAGCGCTGACAGCCACCTACTCCATCACATGGAACACTTTGAACCTAACTGACACACTGTTAAGCTCCCAGGCATGCATCCTCTACCCAGGAATGCACTCACAAAAATGTCTGAGACACAACTTTACTTAGTCAAGTGAGTAAATGTGCCTGTTTTTCCAGGAGCAGAAAATTAAGTTATCAAAGTGCCGAATATGATTTTTCCTCTTTTGTTGCTCATTTACAAATACAAGAACTTTAGAGATATTTGACTCATAACAAAGTCCTACAGACCTATTTGAAAACAACAACACAGACGGAGGATGGGGAGGTTATTGCCTTTGGAGCATTAAGTGTAAAATTCCTCAATTTTGAGGTGTGCAATGGCCTCAAAATCTCTACATGGTCAGATCCCTTTGCTGACGGCTCATTTGCCACCCACAGCTATACAAATGTTAGAGTTCAACATCACAAACACGAGTCCTGCCGCTTTTAGGCATCATTGCATCCTTTCCACGTCTGAATGTGCTCCATGAAACGTATTTTGTGGTTAATGCTCAACAGAAAACATACTTAAATAATCCAAACAAACAATGGTATGTTTTAATCTGCACGCCATCACTATACTTAGCAGTGTAGGCCACTTTTAACAGAAAACCAAAAACCACATCTATTTCAGCATCAGGTTTGGGGTCTCCGGGCAGCAGAGGAAGGAGCGAGGCAGCATGGGTGAGTAATTATTTTGGAAACGTTCAGAAAGCCAGTATTCTCCTGCAAGAGAAATTCTCGTTTGATTTCAAAGCCGCAGCGCATTAGAGCGTCAATCACGTGCATGTTGCAGGGCAGGCAGATATTTAAAGATGTGGGTTCAAATGATAACATCGAAATACTCAAGAGTGGACCAGAGATGAGGTAATGCGCAGAGATGATCTCTCACACGCTCTGACAGGTTAACGGTGCTGACATGCGTAAAAAGTGCCCACAGTGAAGTGTTAAATTCTCCTCTCAGGAGTCTAAGCATCCGATTGTCTTGAACATCTCTGCCACTCTGTGGCCAAAATGAATCTCTGTAGCTCATACCTAAATATTTTCTTCAAGAAATGTGCGGTACGGGAGCTCGATACAAACCATCACTGCTTACTCACAAGACATCCCCATTAGCCCGCCAACCTGTTCAGGTTTTTAGCTAATTAATTAATATATTCCCGTGTGGATTATTCCCAGCCGTGGTGTCCGCTGATGAGTTTTCTCTGCGTTTATTACATTGAGAAGTTTTTTGAGAATGAATCCTAGATTTTAATCACATTTTCTCCGGGAGTTGTACCCTACTTTCGCTACGCCTGCTCCTTCTTTAATACGCCAACACAAGAACTTTTGATTTCACCCTCAATCTGTAGAAATGAAGAAGTTGTCTCACAATGATGAGGAAAGGAGAAATTAAGATCGTTTGTCCGGAGGAAATCTGCGCGCAAGTAAAACCGAAACCCGTGCGTCTATTTGCTGTAGAGGATAAGCGCGCGCGCTCGCTGAAGTTAATTAAGGAGCCCGTTAATTGGCTCAAACTTACAGGTAGCTGCCACTTGTCAGGATGAGGAAGATCTGTGGATAGTAGACTGACAGCAGTACACTGCGCGACGAGAAGATGATCATGATGACATTGAGCAAATGGCCACGATCGATGGCGCAGACAGGATGAAAAAAAATCCCTTAATTCCTTGTTTTAAGTCCGTTTTCGCACAAAATCATTAAAGATGTGCCGTGAGTCTCCTCGTCTCTACGCTGCTCCAAGCTCCCAGGGCCGTGTGTGCGCTGAGATTGGCTCTGACATCTCTGAGCGGCGGAGGCTGTTGCACAGTACTGTGGGCTCCCGAGCCGGAATGATGATGGTTTTAGGGATTTCGCATGGCAGAAAAGTGCCTCTCTCCACTCTCATGAGAGTCGTGCCTGCCATTGGGCAGTGAGAGACACTGCTATCCGCCCACTTTGCCACAGCGGGACAATAGGGTGACACTGATCTGATCCCCGTTGGACGTGCCGAAGGTTTTCATTCATTATCACCCACTCAGCCCCTCTCCACCACTACCACCCCATCCGCACCATCCATCGAGCCAAAAATAAACAAACAGAGACGCTGGCTGCTCGAGCCTCACACCATCATCACAGCTCCATCCATGTGCAAAAAATCAGCACATTTATCTGGCAGGATGCGTCATTCTGGATCAACAAGTTGGTGTCAAATTTACGCACAAAAGTCTTCATATTAAGGCGGATACGAATCTCATAATATTTCTGCACTGGAGAGAGAGCATAATGTATTATTATTATCTCCTGTGATAATCCTATAAAATTCTTGGGATCTTTACGATATTATGTCCTCTGGAAACAAGTTTCCTATAATATTTCCTATGAGACATAAAGTATGTTTGTGGTATTCAGATATGAGTTTCAGTGGCCTTATTATTTCCTGTGGTAGCACTATAATATTCCTATAGGCGTCTATAATGTTTCTGCTCAGTCTGCCTGTCTGCTGCGCTCTGATAAAATCTCAGGGCAATCATCCTGAAATGTCCAAATATTCATTTTGTGACCCTGCTGTTACTTTGGGTAATATTCCCCCTCAGAGGGATTTTTTTTTAAGGTGAAGGCAGAAAAAAAAAATCGCTCTCCTGTTACCCGTGATGTGAAGAGAGGAATCAAATACTTTGAGAGATTTTGTCACAGAGCTCAGAGAGTGGAGGAGCTCTTATCGCCTCAGCATCGTGACTCTCACTCAACACCTGCAGGCTGCAGTCTGTGTAAATGAAGAGGGTACCATGAAAGATGAAGCACACAGTCAAAGGATGGAAGGAATGAGCAAACTGTCTCGCGCTCAGTAAACACACTGAGGTGGGGGGGGGGGACTTTCACCCCCTTGCAGGAGCTACTGTCATGTGATATGAGCATCTGTCAGTTCCACGCTTCAATCCACATGAGGTCCGCGCAGGGAGGGCTCACAAGTCGCTTGTTCTTGATTCTTTGTGGCTTGCAAAAATCTCTGAAAATACTAGGAACTCAATTGAAGTGTTTTTTTTTAAATAATCTGGCAGTCTGATATGCAGCTTTTAAAATCAGAATCAGAAATACTTTATTATTCCCGGGTGAAATTAGGTTAAACTAATAATCTTCAAATATTTCATGCGTAATTGGCTACAGTTATTCAAAAAGGTCATGTAGTGGCACACATGTAATTCGCATGAAATATAGATTTTACCATTGATGGTGATTCATATTTTAATTGTGAAGGGAAAAAAAACATTCCATCTTCATTCTGCAGGTATGCATAGTTGCACGCCCACCTGCAGGCCTCTTAGGCTTACTGAAGAACTATTTCATATTATACATCTGTAGAGAATAAAGGGAGAGTGTGGGGGGGAAAATACAAAAAGAAAAAACTGACTAGGGTTCTTCTTATTTGTGTACATCGTGGGATCATAAGTGAGAGACACTGTGGTACATAATGGAGAGAAGTCCTTGTGTGTGTGTGTGTATGCATCAAGGTGAGCTATTGCAAAACAGGTAAAAACTCCGTCTGGGGCGATGGAATGTGGAAATACAACTCAGTCTGCCGCTATTAATGAAGGTATGCAGGGCTGAGCTGGATCTGCAGCACAGACAGCGGCTCAAATTATCTTGTGCCACAGAGGATCAGGAGTCTCATGAGGTGAACTAAAAAAACTCCTCTGTCAGCGAACTTCAATCAATTATAGTGTCTGCTGACATGAGACCTGATCTGACACTTCTACGCACCGCACGTAGCCCAGGTACAGGGGTTTGGATGTAATAATAAACGTATTGTTTTCATTACACCTTTTGAACCCGAAATTTTACGTTGTGATCTAGGCTGGTGTCAAAGGGTCGGTGCAGTTTGAAGTCCAATAAAAAAACAAACATAGTGTCTAAATTAGATATTCAGGTGTGCGCATGTGAATAAAACAGTACAGGCAGGTAAACACAGGTAACAAAAACTCACCCAAGTCTGAGGTATATGATGCCAAAACACAGCAACACGTAGAGACTCCGCTTTCGGAGGGGTTTGTGCATGTTCGTGTCCACTTTGTCCGGAGGCCATTCACTGTAACATGAAGTAGTGGTCACGCGTTTTCCTTTCACATTGGCAGCCTTTTCTAACCCTTCCAGATGCACGTATAGCGCCCTTTTTCCGTGACGTGAAGCTGGAGCGCCTTTGAAATCTTCGACCGTGTGAAATCCATGATCTCTACGTATACAGGTGAGATGATGAGGACGAGCTGAAAGGTGGCTGAGGAGTCCAAAACGAAACTTGAGAGAGGGTCGGACTTGGAAGGTGAATGGGTTCTTGGAGGAAGTGCCTCCTATTCGTCCTTACGCTCACGGTGGAGCCTAATTAACATTCCCATTCGCTGCGCCATGCAGGTAGAAACAGTTGCACTGTATAGTGACCTGCCAACCTTGTTTCGTTTAAAGTTTTATCATAACGCTGTTCCTTTTCTCTAAAGGCATCATAAACTCAGTTCTTGTTACTAACTTACAACAGCCAGGTACACTAACACAGGTAACAAAAGGGTTCCACGCCTCCTCCTCCTCCTCCTGCAGCATTGATCTGCAGGGAATGGGTCGGGCTTCAACTCTGAGCGCAACATGTGTAGTTGTTGTGCAGAAAACTAAAAGGAACCAAGTGAAATGGCCTTTTATAGGCCTGCAGCCCGGACTAGACTGGTTTCTGTCGCTTGCAACACTGGGCATTGCCCCACCAGTGATGTGCTTTACCACAACAGTGAGCCCCATAAAGCCAAACAGACGAGGAATGGCTTTCCAGCTGCATGGATAAAAAATACCATCGCATGACTAATAATGACTAATAATACTGAACTGGCGTCATGATAAATATCTGTCAGTGGGATTCTGTCAGTCACTTTGATTAACAGAGCAATGCATGAACAAAACAACATAAACAAAACAGTAATAGTCCCATAACTTGGGCTTGAGTCAGAGTGATGTGAATTTTGTGCAGATGTTCAGAATACAGTCAACCCCTTTGGGTGCCATTATCTGACTGAGAAGACTCCCTCTGGTGGCAACACACAGAGACAACCCCCCTTAAAGACAGACCTTTCACAATCCTGTGTGAAACACGACAGCACACTTTAAGATTTAGTCTGAACAGAGATAAAAATGCATTAATATGTGGTATTATGATATTAAATTAATAGGGGGCTGCAGAAATAGATATCACAATGGAATTAAGGGAGTTTTCTCATCCAGACACTATCAATTAAAACCAACCACCTGATATGTTGTAACACAAAGCAGATTTGTGCAATGGCTTCTGTGAAGCTTTTCCAGGAAGTACACCTTAGTTTAATAAATCACTGGGGTGAGATGAACTTCGTTTAATTAAACTAGCATTTGACTAGTAGAATCTAGCCGATACATTATCAATTTCATTCATATTTTCAGTATCTGGGTTTGTTAAAGGAATGGATGGGACAAATGAAATGCTTATTTCTACATTGTTTCAGGATTAAGGTCTCAGGTGTATCAAAGAAGCTGGATGATCAGCAAAACTTTGGAACCTGTAGGTTTACTTTTATATTTCTAAAATCAAACTTGAATTAAATGGATTTCAGTTTGTCACAGGTTTTCATAAATGATTCACTGAGTAGTATACTGCTGCTTGGTTCTTAACACTCATTCTTTTCTCATTACGACGAGAAGAAACAATATAGGGGGTTTTGATTGCTTGTGAACCATTAGATATGTTTTAAACTAATCCTAACTGAGGCGTGTGACATTTGTTTGAATTTTATTTTGTTCAAATTTTGTATTAGATCAATATTCTCAATGGGGACATTATTTCAAAGGAACACAACTACTTTTTTCTTGTAGCTTGATTAATTAAGTCCAACTCAAGTCTTCCTCAGGTATCTTTGATGTAGTGAAATCATTGGTTACTTGCAATACTGCTTTTAGACTTTAGAAGCTTTATTAGAAGCTTTATTAACCCTGAAGGAAATAATGATGCCAGATTGCTCTAACATTACAGTACAAAATAAGAGCAACCTAATAAGCATCAAATATACGTACAAAATAGTTATTTAGAGTGTTAGGTTAGATGCAAAGAAACAGTGCCTAAAATAGTGCCACATTTAATGCATAAATAATCAAATACCATCTACTTAAGTCTTAAGTCTCATACTGTGTGTAGATTGTAATTTAAGTGGTTTTAGTTTGACAAGGCCTTTGTTAATATTTTCACCCATTTTCATATTTCCCAAATTTGCATCAGAAAAAAAATCTCTCTGCATCAAAAAAACACTCATCCCAACACTTGTGTCCCCTGAAGCGTCTGAATATCTAAAGAACTCCTTCTTCTTCTCTTCAAATCTTACAGCCTTAAATCAATTTCTTAAAAGAAGCGCTCGCATTTCCAAGAAACTGCATGAAAAACGGCTCACGTGTTGTAATAATGATGGCATAAACTAAAATTACAAACTTGTGCTATCTGAGCACACACACACACACACACACACACACACACACACAAAGGCTGCCGGGTTGTTGTTGACCACGAGAAACAGACAAAACCGCAGAGACCTTTTGTTTCAAGACGATCCCTGCGTTGTGGTTTCAAGGCCTTTTCCTGCAAAACATGCCCATCAAAATTCCAGATGGATTTTAAGGAATAATGAAAGTCAACATGCAGGCGCAGGGTGACATAAAAAGAGACATGTATTTGATGTCTACCCTGCAACAGATGGTCTTGTTTGTCTTCAAATGTACAGAGCTCATCGTGGAGGCCTGGGCGGGGATGGTCCTGTTTTAGTTTAATTAAAATGTTCAAAGAGGCTACATCGTTTTTATTAAAGCAGGATCGAGACTGGGGACAGCGTGCGTCAGCGTTATTCGTCACCCGCCATTGTCATTACAGACATGTCACACACATCCACACTCGCACACATTCC